AGGGTGATGGCAGCAGTACCAGGTTTGCTTTTACAAACCTGACTCTACCTCCAGTCTAGCTTGGCAGAGACTGATGTTTCAGTTTTTTGCTGTTTAATCGGTGACCAGAAAAGGGACTTTTTCCCTCTCTATAAGATCTGTCTTGGGGAAAAAGGGAACCATGGTCTTTAACTGAATTATCAATGTTTTCGAATGGTTTGCATCAGTTAAGATTATAAAAGCAAACATATCAATCAGCTAACTTCTAAGAATAAAAGAGTGGAAACTCCGAATCCCTAAATCATAATAAAAAGTCCCCAAATTGTTTCTCTCTTTTCTACTTTGCCACCCTATCATTTAGGGATTAATGAAGTCAAATCCATGAATAGTTTCATTGACAGCCAGGGTGTGGTTCAGTGGAAGACGCTTGCCTAGCACGTATGAGGCCCTGGATTGGATTTCCAGCACCAATTCGAATTTTTTTTTTCAAATGTAGTACACATTTTTTATTATTTCAAGGGGCAGGCTTTGTTGAGTAAAATTAAAAGAACAAAAACTACAAGGCAATAGGACCGCATCTGTCACCGCACACATTGTTTTATTGCTTTCCAGAAGCCAGGACGGTGATTAAAATTTCTGAGGCTTCAGCACAGACAGAGATACAGTAGGCTTGTGGGCAACTCCACTTGTTTATCTGACCATTCTAGAGCTTCTAATAGTGACAAGTTCGATAACCATAAAGGGGCATCTTTTTGTCATCTATAGAGTTTAGTAAACTGAAAATCCATATATCCAAAAATTTCTGTCAAGAGAAAATCAACATGTTTAACAGTAACCAGGCACAGAGGAAACAATAGATAAACAGAAAAGTATAATGAGGACAAGGAACAGAGAGCTGCTGCTTGCTAACATTGGCAATGGGACAGTACATCCAAGTGAGTATATTAGCCAATCTCCCAAGTGGGATGCCAAGAATTATTTTTACAATTTTAGTTTCATATTGTAGAACATGAAAGGAGCTACTTACATCTTTTAGGGGAGAGATAAACATGTTTCTGAAGCACTAGACTGACTGCTTTCCTGGGAGGTGATACAGGGTGTATAGGGTAAAGATCCAGAAGGAATAAGGTACAGAGTGAAACCAGGAGACAAAGCAGAGGTACATTTTCCAAGGCCATCTCCCTGGACCAGTACTGGATGCTATAGTCCAGCTCTCAGCAGTACATATAGAGCAGACCTTGACGTGGTCCATCTGGAAGTGGAAAAAAAGCTCTCAGCAACATATAGAGCAGACCTTGACGTGGTCCATCTGGAAGTGGCATGGGCTCCTCTCTTGCTGACTAATCCCATCTGCCTCTACTGGTAAGGAGTCTGCTGGTAAACAGGGAACAGGAAGGCAGATTTGAGTGTTTCTAACACAAATGGCTAGTAAAACCCTCTCAAGCTACTATGTGAAATTTATCAGAACATAATCAACCACTGTTGTGTTCCTGAGGTTTTTTTCTACTGCAGGATGATTAGTTAGATGTGATGTCTGTTGTGTGACAAGGCTTTGTGGTTGCTTACAAAAGTCTGAAATATTTCAGTGGCTAAGGATGATAAAAAGGATGGTTTATAATAATTGTTTGAAAATCCAACTGTTTTGGAAGACGTAGAACATGTGATTACCATGCCCAGAGATGATTATCAGGGAAGTAGAATTCTTTGTTTTTTTTGTACCAGGGATCAAACTCCCGACCTTGCACTTGCAAGGAAGGCAGCAGCACCACTGAGCTAAATCCCTGGCCCCTGGGAAGCAGGGTTCTTATGCCTCTAGAGAGGTGGTACTTTCTTCAATAACTATTTTGAAAAAACTTTAAAATGGAAAAAATTTTAAAAGGCAGATTAGAATAGTAAACTCAGCTGGGCATGGTGGTAACACACCTGTAATCCCAGCACTTGGGAGGCTGAGGCAGGAGGACTGCTGTGAATTCCAAGCCAATGTGAACTACGCAGCGAGACCCTCTCTCAAAAAAAAAAAATAAATAAATAATGAACTCAGATAACTGTCACACCCAACTTCATGGCTGATTTTCTATTTCTACTTTCCCACTGATCCTATCTACTAAATTTATACTAAAGTAACATCCAGATATAATTAATTTTCCATCCATAGAATTTTATATGCATTTTCAAGAATAAACAGTATCATCACGCCCAAAACAGTTTTAGAAAAAAATAAACAAGAATAGTCTAAAATATTAAGAAAAGTTTTGAGAATCATTGTGACAGTATTGGGGGAGACTGTCTCTGTAAGTTGAAAACTTTTCCTAGATACAAAAATACCATGTGCAGATATAATTCATTAAAAGTTGCAAAGCTGCTTTCTCCTATATCAACATTTGACATTAACTGTTGCCCATCACATACATATTAAATCTAGCATGTACAAGGTAATAAATTTTACTGCTCATGAAGTATTTATATAGTAGCTGGAAGCTTTTTTTTCCTTCATTTTTATTATAAAAGCAAAATAAGTCTATGGCAAGAAAGTCAAACAGAGCAGAGGTGAATGAACTGAAATGCAAAGTCTTTGATGCTGAGGCCAAGCATTTACTTCAGCTCCACAAAGGAACTGCTGTGTTAAAGAGATTTTAATTCATTCCAGTTTTTCATATGTATGAAAATCCTATCTGCTTATATTTTTAAACAAATATTATCTGGGTTTTTTATCATTGTTTTTTTTCAATAGATATTGGGTATCTTTCCACTTCCAGCTGCAGTACTGGGGAATGAACCCAGGGCCTGACACACGGTAGGCAAGTGCTCTGTTCTTGAGCTATATCCCTAGGTCTATATTCAGTTTTTTCACAGCTCTGTGATAATCCACTTACTAGAGATGCAAGAGAAATTTTAACTAGTCTCCAATGATTGGCCATTTAGAAGTGACCAAGAGGGCTGGGGATTTAGCTCAGTGGTTCTGCCACCTGCCTTGCAAGCGTAAGGACTTGAGTTCGATCCCCGGTACCAAAAATAAAAGAGGAGTGACCAAGAAATAATAATAGCTCACACAATGGCATAATGAAGAAATATATTCACATACAATGTCTCCACCAGAACACAAGTCCTACGGTGGGAGGGCTTTTGCCTGCCCTGTCCAGTGATGAACGGTCAGCATGTACAACCAAGCCCGGCGCCCCAGGTGCCTAATAAACATCTGCTGAGTGAATGTGTCTTCATGTGTGTCTACTGCCATATTTAAAATCTCTCTACATATTGACCAACCACCTTCCGAAGTGATTGTCTCACTGTATACTCCTATTTACGTCTTTGTTTTGTTTTAATGAGCAGGGACTTCATCTTTAGAACTCAGTGTGATAGAAATAAGATATGCTGTGCATTCATTTCCTATTACTACTGTATAAGATACCCCAAATTAAGCGGCTTAAAACAACACCAATTATTTTTTTCAATTTCTAGAGACAAAATGTCCAAAACGGGTTAATGATGAGACTCCAGAGGAGAATTTCTCTTTTTTCTTCTTCTTCTTCTTCTTTTTTGCCTTCAGCTTTGGAAGCTGTGTTGCTTGTCTCATGGATCCTTCCACATCATTCAACCTGTTTCCTCTGTCACATCTCCCTGAAGCGAGCCCCCACCAACCTTTTGCCTTTATAAGCACTCTTGTAATTCCATTGGGGACACCTAGATAATCCCGTGTCGTTTCCCTGTCTCTAGATCTTTAGCTCAATCACATCGACAAAGTTCCTTCCCACTGCCATGTTCAGTAACGAACAGGTTCTGGGCATTCAAATGCAGACATCTTCCAGGGACCGTCTGTAACAGCTTGGGAATCATGTTTAAAGTTCATCACCGTCAATTCAACATACATTTCCTACATATCTGTTAGATCCCTTCCTCCACATCCCAAACTAAATCTAAGAAACACTAGCTCCCTGGCCTTGCCCAAATGACATAACCTCCCCCACCCCTGCCTCCATTTTCCTCACTACAAATCTCTCTCTCTCTCTCTCTCTCTCTCTCTCTCTCTCTCTCTCTCTCAACCCTGTATGCAAAGTGTCTGCTGAAATCTCTTTCCATTTAAACAGAATTCAGGATTATGATCTGCCATTTTCATCTGGACAAAAACATAAGTACAACATTGGATTAATCAGCAAAGAGGCAGAGAAACATTCTCACAACCTGCTGGTGTGGATGTAAATTGATACTTTCTAGAGGACAGTATGGCCATGTGGATGTAATGAAGTCTTATAGAAGTTTATTCTCTTCATCTCAGTAATTATCCATTTCTAGAAATATACTTTAAGCCCATGGTTGAATTTATGCGCAGTGATATTTGTTAAATATTATTTACAATGCTAAGAGAGAAAGCAGAAACAAACTAAATGTCCTCGATGTAGGACTTAAATAAGTAAGAAGAGTACATCCACATTACGGAAATCTCAATGGCCACATAAAGGACTTGGTCAGAGGTTTGCCAGATATTAGTGACAAACTCAGGGTTTATGTCAAGGTTATTATCTCAAGTAGGTAAAAGAATCAGTGTGTGCATATAAAGGAAGAAAAAGAACTAAAGAGTTTTCCTGATGTTAACAGTGAGTATTTCTGGGTAATGGAATAGCAAGAGACTTTTTTTTTTTTTTTCTTTTTACTTGCTTGTACTTCCTAGTTTCTAACAATGAAGGTGGGTGCAGGTGATACAGCGCAGCTCCCCTAAATCACTTAACAGGGTTTTCCAGGTACGGCACAAACGCGACCGGAGGTGTCCCCCTAGTGGGGAAGGTGGGACGGCTGCTGCACACACACCTAGCTGTGACTGTTTCAAACAGTTTATCGTATTCAGGGCTTTTCAAAGCAGAGCCAGAAAATCGAAAAGAATTCTGCTTATTTAAAAAATTGATAATAAGGGGGAAGAAACCCATTGCCAAAGTAAAGACCAAACCTCATCCTGGGAAAGAAGGTGCTAGTAATCCTAGGGGCACCTGGAATATTGAATTAACAAATTATCGATATTAGGCTGCTTAGATTTTTATTTTGCTGCTGCTGCTGTTTTTGTTGTAGCTTACGTTCAAAAATGTCTAGGTACCAGGGATGAGGAACTAAGAAGGCCCGGGATGGAGCCTTTGTGGCCTGGAGGCGACACCTTTACCGACGACTCCAAAATCTTCGGCTCCACTCGGCTCCTCTTCGGCTGCATTCGGTGGCCTCGCTTTCTCTCAGGCTCGGCTCTTTTCGACTAAATTCGGCCCACGCTCGATTTAGACTCGGCTCTCTTCGTTTAGTCTCACCATCATCACGGCCTCGGCTTTCCTCAGCCCCCTTCCTCCTGCCTAGGTCTCGGCCACGCCTCCTCTTCCGCTGCGTTCGTCTGGCCGCCGTGCTCGCAGTGTCGGCTCTCTTCGGCTGCGTCCGGCCAACATTCGTCACAGCTCGGCTTTTTTCGCCTACATTCGGCTGCGGCCCCGGAAGGGCGCTCATGGAGCCGGGATTTTCGGCTCGACGGATCGCAATGGCGCCGCTGCTAGAATATGAGAGGCAGCTGGTGCTGGAGCTGCTCGACACCGACGGGCTGGTCGTGTGCGCCCGAGGGCTCGGCGCGGACCGGCTCCTCTACCATTTCCTCCGGCTACACTGCCACCCGGCCTGCCTGGTGCTGGTGCTCAACACGCAGCCAGCCGAGGAGGTGCGGCGGCGAGAGTGAGGGGACCTGAGGGCGTGGGGGCCTCCTTGGCGGATGCAGGCCCCGGCTCGAATACCAGGCCTCGGTCGGGGTTGGGGAGGGGGGTCCGAGAAAAGAGAGCCCTAAACTGACAGGGAGGGTGTTGAACAGGGTTGGGGTCTCCAAGGGAGTCGCGGGCCCCAAACGTTGCGCGAGAGCGCTGGCTCCGGGGGAGGGAGTGACTGGCGGAGTCGGGGGTGAGGGCGAGGGGGCGGGGATTGGAGGCCCCTGCAGGGAGGAGATGTCAGAAGGAGACTAGATGAAGGATGCTACAAGCGTCAGATCAGAGGCGATCTCTAGAAGGGAACGATTGGGGGGGGGGAGGTCTCAGGATGATGGAAAGACGAGAGACACCCAGGATCGGCAGACCATGTAGGGAAGAGGGACTGCAGGACTAGGACATTTCACCAAGGATACGGGGGAGTGTTAACAGGGGAGACACTGTGGAAGATGGAATGGAGATGCCCCTGCCCTGAGAGCTCACTGAGAGAGAACGTAGCATGGTCAGACAATCTGATGATCTGCTAAGTAGAGCAGGTGGCCAGGAGGAAAATGTCAGCTGAAAAAAATAATCACAAAGACCTCAAGTGCAGGTACCCTGTTGATTCATCCTGGTATCCCCAGTGCGTGGTGTGAGGCCTGTCACAACACATCTGTCCAGCAGAAGTGGTGCTAAAGCGGAGGGGTAACTGGCAAAGGGACCTGTTAACATGGTGAAGTCCTTCTAGGATGGGTCAGGACAGAGCAGCCTAAAATACCGTCTGGGGAAAGGATTCCCTTGTTATCTTCTCACAGAGGGTGTTTGGCTGCAAACCTGGCTTTGGTGGGAAGTATTTTCTAGGTAGCTAAAGTCTTTTAATCCAAGATTTTAAAAGGGTTTGTCTGTTGTTGGAGTGCCCATGACTGAAGGGCTATTGGTTGTTAGTGTAAACTCCAAAAACAGAACAAATAAGCAAAAAAAAAAAAAACCTTGTTAAATGTAGACTGGTTGGTTGATCCACATAAAGGAGTAACTTAGTTTCTATATTCGTTTTTAAGTTCATTATCTGAGGAAGGCAGCACTGCATTTTAAATACCTGCAACCTCTTAAAAACTGCCTTGGTTTACTCTTCTAATGAGTTTGATTTGATTTAGGAGTATTTTGTCAATCAGCTGAAGATAGATGGCGTCGATCACCTCCCTCGCCGCGTGACAAATGAAATCGCAAGTAACAGTCGCTATGAGGTTTACACACAAGGTGGTGTTATATTTGCAACAAGTCGAATTCTTGTGGTTGATTTTTTGACTGATAGAATACCTTCAGATTTAATAACTGGTAAGAATTTGAAATCTTATTCCTTACCTATAAAGGGGTACATTTTTATTTTTGTGTGGCCCCATTGCTACACTCCAGAACATTCCTTGGGTGTAACTAGATCTTTTTGCTTAACTGTGTGCTCCCATCTGTTGTCACAATGCCTGATACATTGTAGATCATCAGTAAATTCTCGCGAGATCGCAATCTAAATAAGTAACTACAGTCAGGGTCACTTAACCATACTATGTATACATTGTAAGAACTGTATCATTAGACTCTTTCCTTATTGTGTGATCACAGGGAATTTACACAAACCTGGTATAGGTCAGTTGGATGTAGCCTCGAAGCAATCAACAAGCACAGTACACTTGAAATATAGGAGGCTGCCAGTGTAACAGGGCGTACTGTTTTATAGCAAACATTTTTTTTTTTTAACCACTAAGTAGAAAGAATACACTCTAAAATAAAGATAAAAAGTATAACCAAGACAAGCATGGTGTGCACACCTTTAATCTCAACTAGTCAGAAGACTAGCAGGGCGTACTGTTTTATAGCAAACATTTTTTTTTTAACCACTAAGTAGAAAGAATACACTCTAAAATAAGGATAAAAAGTATAACCAAGACAAGCATGGTGTGCACACCTTTAATCTCAACTAGTCAGAAGACTAGGCAGAAGGATCCCAAGTTCAAGGCCAGTGTGGGCAGCTTAGTGACCCTGTCTCAAAATAGAAAGGGCTGGAATGTGGTTCGGTGTCAGAGCACTTGTCCAGCATGCACAAAGCTGTGGAATTTGATCACCAGTACCCCAAAAGGAATGAAGAAAGTACAGCAAATGGATGAACCAGAATATAGTCATTATCATTATCATATCATTATCATATGAAGGATCAGATACTATGCATAATTGTATTGCTGTACTTTTTTTTCTCGTTGAGTTTATTGGTACTTTTCAGATTCGCAGTACAGTTCCATTCATCATTGGGATCTTGTACCTTTACATGACAGGTCTTGGTTCTCATTTATTCTTCATGGCCCTGCCCTCCCTTCAACTATACTTACATATGACTGACAGCAGTACTTTCATTGCAGCAGCACCACTAGAAACAAATCAGTAGCACATTACAGCGTCTACTAGGGCAGTGATGGCAAACCTTTTAGAATTTTCAGTGATAACAAACAGCCTCAGCACATGTGCCATCGATTCCCACCACTGCTCCAGGACTTAGGATGTCTTAAGCGCTGTTACAATCTTAGGGGACCAACATCGTATAAGTGGTCTGTCACTGACTATCATTGTTGTGTGGTACGTGACTATACATGGGAGCTGACTTTTCCTTCTTTCTAAGTTGATACTCAAGTAGTCATGAATAAAATATTTGTATTTGTCTAGTCTGCTTTTAGAACACAACCAGATTTGACATCTCTGTAACTGATCTGTATATTTCCAAAAATACTGAAAGCTTTTCTCTTTAAGAGTAATTTCCACATGATTTGAAATTAAATAGTTTATTTTTATAAAAATGGTTTTAAGCGGTATGATCAAAAAATACAGTGAATGTTTAATTTTTTTTTTAATTTATTACAGTACAAGACACATTGCCATTAATTCCCCTCACAGTACTCTCCTGTGCTTTGAACATACATCCCTTTGTTCTTGCCGCTATTCTGAAGCAGTTCTGGAAGTCCTGTTTCGTGAGTTTCTCTAGTTGTGCTCTTGTGACTGCCTCAATGTCTTCAATCGATTCCAAATGTTAACCTTTCGTGGTCTTTTTGACTTTGAGCAACAGCCAGGGGTCCAGCCATGCCGGATCCACTGATAGGGTAGATGAGGACACGCTGTAATGTTCTGATGAGCCCACCTTTCTGTTGGCACTCAGCAGCACTATTTGCGGTATTTTTTATTACACCACGAAGACACTCCGGAAAGAGGACTTCGAGAACTGCTTCCGAAAGTGGCAGGAGCCACGGGATGAGTGTGTTCAAAGGGCAGGGGGGTGTTTATAATTTAGACATTTGCTGTATAGTTTGATCCCTCCCATTTTAGCTGGATTTGGTACAGAGAAGAAATACATTTTTATTATTGTTTGTACTTTCAGAAACATCTTGTGATTTCCCCAGAGCTAGTTTAGGAGTCCTGTGTCTTTGCCCTCACATTACCCTGTGCTTATTTCCAGTCATAGTACTGAGAACACTGCCTTATATTTGCCTGTTTGTCTCAACATGAATAAGCTGCCTTAGTACAAGGAAGGACTTGTTCATCTCAGGTTAAATAACTGGTACATAGTACATACTAAATACATATTTGTTGGATGAATGCTGGAGAATGATGAACTGTTAGAAGGCAAAGAAACTGAAAATTATTAGCACACTCGTACCTATCATATTTCCCTGAACTTAGAAGACCCTCAAGAAATATTTAATGCATAAATGTGTGATTGATTGCTTTATGTGGCTTATTGCAAACTGGTTAAGGGAGTTTTGTTACTTTTTTGTAATATTCATAATTCTTATAAACTGTGGTATGAGCCTGGTTTCCAATGCTAATACCCTTCTTACAATCAGATTCCTTACTTTTTCTGAACTTCAATTTCCTCATTTCTTACAGTCAAGAAAATTGTGCCTCTTCAAATTGTAAGGATTGAGATACAATAAAATTCTTATCATAGTGCCTGATATGTAGTAAACTCCTAATAAGTTATGTCCAAAAAAATTGAGTGTTTTTTTTTTTTAATAACTGGAAGTCTTTCTACAGCATAAGGTCTTCTACTGTTTCTAGCTTTTATATAAGCATTTCTTTTCTGCTTTTTTTTTTTTTTCTAAAATTAAAATAATTATTTGGAAAGTACCACTAGATGTCAGTAGTACTCTTGACTTTCAGTTACAGTTCGACCTAATCAGGTAGGGTTTTTTGTTTTGTTTTGTTTTGTTTTTCCTTCCTTTCCTGTACCAGGACTCGCACCTGCGAGGCAAGAGGCAGCAGAACCACTGAGCTAAATCCCCAGCCCGGGAATCATCTTAATCAATGCAACTTCCAAGTCTAGCATACAAGTACTTCCTTAATTAACGGTGTCAAGTTGCCTCCCAATTTTGGATGAAGTCCCTGCCAGTAATGAAGCTGGAACTGGTACCTGGCTGAGGAAATGAATGCCTGAGATAAATTCTTTCAGGTTCATCTGCTATGGTCCCCAAAAGGGGACCACCAAGAGCTTTGGTAAAGCCCTTAAAGAGCAAAGGGCAGTCCCTTAAGCTGGGAACACTTGGAGAATTATTGGCTTCACTCAGGCCTCACTTGCTTCCCTCGCACCTCTGGTTATTACCATCCCTTGCCTTCCCTAGGTGTCACTGCCAACTAGAACTCCTAAATAGGAGACTACAATTGATCCTGATATCTCCAGATAGAATTCTGAACACTTTCCAGGAAGTTTTTAAAAAGAAAATTGTATGTTAGATTTGTGTGCCAAAGTGCTCTAATTTAGCTTTATATTCATTCGACAAACCTTTAAGGATCTCCTTGCTTGGCAGGAAAGATTCTGAAGATAGAAAGTGAGCAAGCAGTTTGGTGAGCTCTTGAGTTTGAGCGCTTCAGGGTTTGATCTTGCCTTCACTGTTCCTCAGCTGTGTGTCCGTAGGCAAATGGCTTAATTTCTCTGTGCCTAGTTTTTAATCCACAAATCAGGGACAATAATAGTTCTTCCACTCAGGACTTTTGGAAAGCAGATAGTACACGTAAATGCCTACCATCCAGGCACATAATGAGCATTTTGTGATCATTATTATGGTGTCCTTGTCTGCATACAGTTCAGTGGAGAAGACAGATAGATACATAAAAGTAATTGTGTACATTATGATGTAGAAATTATCATAGGAGCATAAATTTTTAAGTAAGTTCTTGTGGTACTAAAACTGTCCCCAAAACTTCACCTTCTGATACTCTTTGTTTTAGGAGGGTCCTGAGCTAGCATCACTTAGTAGGAAAAATGTGGCTTTACAAATGATTTAGAATCTTTGGCCCCCACTTAGTGGCTGGATGCCTGTCCCTATCTTGGTGTCGTAGTATACCTACCACGTAGAGTTATTGTAAGGAGTCAATAAAATAATCCATAAAAGTACCTAACCCAGTGCCTGGGATGTAATGTTCTCTTCTCCTTTTTCTGTTTTCTAAAAGAATAACCTTTAAAGCACATAATTTTCTAAAATTGAGTCTCACCTTTTCTTTAGAAACCTGTTTGTGTTATTTTTAACTTTATGTAATATTTCAACCCAAGGTCATTGTTGTCCACACATTAAGTCCTTGGAGAAACCCACCTACTAGGTAGAATATATTCTGAGTAGTTACTGAGCGGCTATTGAAAATCCTTTGCTATAAATATCTAAATCTTGCTACATTTGAAAAATAATTTGATTAGCTCGTCAGTTTAGTTTCATCCATGTTAATCCAAAATTGAAGCAACAAATAATAGAATCCAAATTTAGCTTTTTGAATTGTAGGAAGGCCCATAAATGACCGTATCATTTTCCAGACCCTATGAGTGATGAGAATGGGATTCAAAATATGCAAGTACATGTTCTGAAAATGCGTATGTAAAGTAACCAGTTTGAGGTCTAAAACATTGAGAATCATCATAGAATAACTGAATTTTTGAACCAGAAATGACACCTATACATCCTTAACTCATCTTGTATTTCTCCCTGACTCGTCACTAATTGTGTTACATCAAACTGGCATTGGTAGATGAAATATCTTCCGGTGCACTGTCCTCATTTATAAATTGGGAAACATGGATCCTTGTCCTTGGTTTTGAGATTCAGAGATACAGTTACACACACTGACACAAACATATTAAATATGTCACTAAAGGTTTTTATTTTTAATGGAGTGATTTATCTTAATTGAATGATCTTGATTCTGAAAATTGAATTAACCCTACTAGGTGATGTAAATGTTGTCCATACTTGTAAAATGGAGCTATTGTGTGGATCCCACATCTGATTCATCTAGAAAAAGAGACTTAGGACCCACTTTGCTTCCTTTGGTGTGCCAGGCACGCTCCACTCCAGGGCCTTTGTTATTGCTTCCTCATCTCTCTCCTACTTACCTAAAATCACACACCAGCTCTCTGTACACACTCCCTCTCCTCTGACTCCGTGTTCTCCTTAACACAGGTAACATACTAAATGTCTTACCGGTGGTGTTCAGCAAAAGTTCCACAGTGATGGGGATTTGCGTCTGTTGGTTTATCGCTATATTCCCAGCCTACCTGCCCTTTCTCGAGTAGACCCTCCAGAAATGTTGAAAGAATGAATGAATGAGCAAAAGTGAGCGAGCAATTTCATGTCTGTCCTGTAACTTCAATTGTAACCTCTCCCCTCAGGCATCTTGGTGTACAGAGCCCACCGAATAATCGAGTCTTGTCAGGAAGCATTCATTTTGCGCCTCTTTCGCCAGAAAAACAAACGCGGTTTTATTAAAGCTTTCACAGACAACGCTGTCGCCTTTGATACTGGTTTTTGTCATGTGGAAAGAGTGATGAGAAATCTCTTTGTGAGGAAGCTGTATCTGTGGCCTAGGTAAATAGTATTTTGTTATTTTTGAGAAGATCTGCTGAACTTAGTAGGGCCTTACTGTAATACAGTATAAAATATACTGACTCTGCCCTTGATCGAGGCTGGTCAGGTCTGTTACAAACGCACCTAGATATAAATCCGTACTCACCATAGTTCTGATTCTTTTGAAAGTAGAGGGAGATTTGAGTCAATTTTCTGGCAGTCTTATCAGATCCACCCAAGGGTGCTTTATTCATTCTTGTACATTTAGTGACGCTCCCGAGGAAATAGAGGCCTATGTATGCAACAGCTTTAGGTCAGCTGCAGATTTATTGGACAAAACTGTCACTTGTGCTTTGAGGATTACCCACCAAGGCAAAAAAGCCCAAAGATATTGATGTATTTGTGTAAATTTTTAAGGAAAACGTAAAGTTTCAGTTTTCAAGTATTTTTGCAACATTTGCCAGTACTACTTTGATTATACAATACTTTGTCTTAAAAGTAGGTGTAGAATTTTTCCTGTTTCTATTATATCTTATCTCAGACGTCCACACACTTTTCCTATAAACAACCACATAGTAAATATTTTGGGCCTTGCAGACTGAGCAGTCTGTCATAGTTACTCCGCTGTGCTGTAAAAGAACACCAAAGCAGCCATAGACAGTACAACAGTGGCAGTGGCTGTGTTCTGTTAAGACTTCAAAAGAATGTCTTGGATTTGGTCCAGACAGTAGTCTGTGGGCCCTGCCTTATCTATTCGTAGAGGTCCAAAGTATTGATCAAAACATGCTCATTTTGTCTGTTTCCTAATTGCATTTACAAAAACTGTTAGAATATTGAACTGGGACCAGAATGCACCGCGGTCGAAACTAAAATTTGAAAACTCTTTGTCTCCAGGTTCCACGTAGTGGTCAACTCATTTTTAGAACAGCATAAACCTGAAGTTGTAGAGATTCATGTTTCTATGACACCTGCCATGCTTGCCATTCAAACTGCTATACTGGATATTTTAAATGCGTGTCTAAAGGAACTGAAAAGTCATAACCCATCCCTGGAAGTGGAAGATTTATCTTTAGAAAACGCTATTGGGAAGCCTTTTGACAAGGTACTTTTCCTTTTTAAAGCATAACATGTTGTAACTTTAAAGAATGAAAATTATTTTAATATTTGAAATGTTAATAGGAATTTGCTATTATTTTAGAATTAAATTGGAGGTGATTTAAAATACAGCTGCTGTGGTTTGCCAGAAGGTAACTACTAAAATATGTGGCTTGGCAGGGAAGCATGTCTCTGCAATTTATGTACAGAGTATATATAACTGCATTTTAAGTGTAATCAAGAGGGGGATAACTTTTTTGCTGTAAATGACAACCTTTGGATATCAGCAAGTAGAAGAGTTTGACACAAAAATGTTTCATAATTACACATGCACTTACCATCTCGTTTTTTGGAATACACATAATGTGAATGCATTTTCATTACTGAGAAATGAGACTTGCTCTGTCCTAAAATTACATTCTTAATTAAGAAAATAGACAAATTCAAAGAATCTTTATGCTGACTTTTTTCACCATGGACTAATATTAATCTATCTATGTAAGTGTCTAATGCAGTAGTGAATTGTGGAAAAGGAAAATATTGACTTAAAAATTCCAAGTAGTGTCTGATTTTTTACGTTTTTGTAGAACCTGTTTCTATCTTTGTAAACCCTGAACCAGTCTGTTTCATTGAAAAAGGAAAAATTTAACTTCTCATTTCTCCAATTCTTTCCAAAAAATGAGTTTACTATGAAATATTGATACATAAAACTAAGTGTTCTGTTCCTCCATCTTAAAAGGATGGTGTAATTTAGTGCATGGTGATTTCAAAAAAAACTTCATATTCATTTAATGGAATATATATCCCTAGAAAAACAAAATATAGCTTACTATGTTTTACACTAGATTTCTGCTTATTATCCCCTCACTAGTAAGAGTCAAAGCATTGTTTTTTGTTTTCGTTTAGTAACCACATCTACGTATAAAACATAGCTTATATCATACTAAAAAATGTAACCTTGCATAAATCTTTTTACAAAAGAGGCATTTTGTTATTTGTCTCATTTGTTTAAGACAATCCCAATATCTACTTGTTGTCCTGGAGTAATTATTTAGAGTATTCTGTTTCATTTTCACAAATACCCCAGTTTGAGCAATAAATTTTATGTTCATCTAAGTACTACTTCTGTCCAGAGTTAAATTTGTTAGATTAGATGTCATCCAATTATACTGCTTCTGTTCATTAAAATTTGATTGATTTTCTGATGTTGATTGAGCTTTTTCCTCTCCTGACAATAATGTAAATCTGCCCAAGGATAGTTGACCCCATCTGATCATAAAACTTATAGCAATATGACACTCTTTTCTGTATTTAAAAAATTGAATGTTACTGTTAGAATTTTATAAACTGAATTTTTTTGGCCGTGTCCCTAGGGAATAGTATTTTCTGGTTTAGTAGTAAAATACTCTAATACCATGAATAAAATTCCTTGAAAGATATCCTTTGAACCATTTTTAGGGATACAAAGAATAAACTTTAAAAAGAAAGTATAATTTGTATTATTAAGAATAGCTGTGTTAACATTTTAGCAATACTTAATTTTGTTCTTGTTTTAGACAATCCGCCATTATCTGGATCCTTTGTGGCACCAGCTTGGAGCCAAGACTAAATCCTTGGTTCAGGATTTGAAGATATTGCGGACTTTGCTGCAGTATCTCTCGCAATATGATTGTGTCACATTTCTTAATCTTTTGGAATCCCTGAGAGCAACAGAAAAGGCTTTTGGTCAAAATTCAGGTGTGAGATAAAAAATACTAATGTTATTCTAGGAGCTGCTTTGAATAAAGTTAGATTTTGGGGGAAAGCAGGTATGGGGAGTGCTATATTCAACTACATGTTATATGCTGAGATCTCAAAATACATTTTATGTTCATTGCACAAGGATGTAGGTTTTATTGATAGCTAATGTTTACGCCTACCTAACTTCTGTTCTGTATAATAATATTCATATCCATTCTGGGAAATTTTATTTCTAGAAAAGACTGTGGATAGTACTGGCTGTCTCCAACTTAGAAATAGGTTATGTTCTGGAAGTATAGTTGTTAGGAACTTAAAATTTATTTTTCCAAAAGAGACAGTAAGGGACAGCTTTCATCAGCTAGAGTACTGAAGAGATTTGTAGGAAAATATACATCTATGACTGGCCACCATCTTGTTTTCCAACCAGCTACACCCTTCTGCCAATACCCAGGACCCTTGCCCCATACAGTTCAAGATTTAGTGTAATTAATATCTACATTCTTCAGGGATTTTTTTTAAAGTAATAAACTACGAATGAGAATGCATCAACTGCTGGTACACTTTCTTAGCACTGTCTTGGTTTATGCAAAAGCACCAATAGTATTATTCACCACCATTGGGAATGTCAACAAGTGAAAAAAAATCAGTGTTGTAATATCAGGGAAAAAGTTTTGACATCATAGACCCCCTGAGTGCATCATGGGGATCCCCAGGAGACTGGGCCACACTTAAGCCACTAGTTCAGGGAATCCTAAAGAATACAACAGTAAGAGGAGGTGTGATCAGTAGGAAAGGTGGTGGCCAGTTGTATATGTAGGTCATGTAAGCATCAGAGACTATTTAAAATTAACTATAAATTGAAAGGTGTTTTGATTTTGTTGTTTACTTTTCATATTAGGTTGGCTGTTTCTTGACTCCAGCACCTCAATGTTCGTAAATGCTCGAGCAAGGGTTTATCATATTCCGGATGCCAAAATGAGTAAAAAGAGCAAAATATCTGAAAAAGTGGAGATTAAGGAAGGACAAGGTATCTTATAGGCCTAAGTCTTTAAATAATATGTCTTTTATTTAAATATTTGCTGTGAAAACACTTACCAAGTTAAAGTGTAATTTAAAATCTCCTTCAGCCATATGTTAACCATTTTATGTAACATATGTGATGTATATTAAAAGTATTTTTCATGGCAAGTCTCGGAATCCATTGCCAGAGGATTTCAGATAACAAAGGTCAAATATCAATCAGGAGCATTCAGGAATACTCTTACTGCTACATAAAAACTGTAAATTGATTTTTTTACAAAAGTTCAAAATAATAACTATTTTTGACAGTCAAAGTCTTAGTGAAACAGTTTAATATTCCTTTGAACTTTTAAAGGTCATAAAATACTAGAATGTGGCAGTTGTGGTTTTTATTCCAGTACTATCTAGTCAGTTGTCAAATGTCACTCATTTTTTTAAGGTATAGGATACACTCAATAATTTTTTCTACCTAGTTCACAGTTCTAGCTCGAAACTTAATTTAAAAATATTAATAATGTGTTTGAGAACTTGTAGAGATAAAAGTTTGATCACTGTCTACATGTGTGCATATTTAGGCTTGTGAGAATCATGGAGATTTTCATAATAGCAAATACTTTGACTTGTGCTGATTCCTTTATCATCTCGAATCCCTATCGAGGCATCATGCAACCTGTGTTAATGCTAGTTGAAGTGTGCTCCTATCAGACCCGAAGTATGCCTTTTCCAGGAAGGCAGACTCTGTCTTACATTTAAAGAAAGCTCAAAGAAATGGCCTGTGGAATGATGCTGGTATTATCATCCTTCATCTCCATACAGAAGCAAAGAAGGAACTGGTCCTAGAATGCAACCCAAAGTGGGAGGCATTAACTGAAGTACTGAAAGAAATCGAGGCAGAAAATAAGGAGAGCGAAGCCCTTGGAGGCCCAGGTAGGAAAAACAGGAGATAACGACATTTGCTTTTAAATGAATCTTAATTTGACTGGCTCGTTTGAAGTAATTCACTGTTTGGTTTTTAAAGTGGAGGTAAATAAATACCAAGTGAACACTTAAGATTTTGCTGGCAACCTCAATTCTGTTCATTTGATGTGATTTTCTCCCTATTGAATCATTGTGTATTCATGAAGCAGCTTTTGTTTTTGTTTTTGTTTTATTGGTTGGGTTCTCAGGCCTTCAGTTTAAAAAGTCACCTAATCGCCACATATATATTCATTAAACTTTAAATCTGGAATCCCCAGGGAGTAAGCTAATGGGTTTTTCTGTTTTATATTCTAAGCAAGTATCTCTCCAGAGGAGCTTAAACTCTTCTAGGGAATGACGCTGATCTAGGCCTTGAAAAAAATTGCAAATTTTAGGCCTGCCCTCATCAAAAATGGGTATATTAGTAGATTAGCACAGTAGTCTAAATCTGAACTATACATTTTAAAATAAGATCCGATAGAAAAACTAATTTTTTAAAATACCAGTTTGAGTCTTTGAACTCAAAAGCAATGCAGGCAAGTGTTCGATCCTTTTATTAGTATATATACTGGTGATATCCCAGAACTTAGGGTGCTGAGATTTAAAACCCAGAGTCATCCATGCTTACCATAGACAGAGTGAAAAGGATAAAGAAAAGGGAGAAGGAAATAATTACTTCTAGCAGCTACTGTTAAAGTTGGCTTTCACATATTTCCTATTTCAAATTACGAAAGTTATAGCACAGATAATAATTTCTGGACATAGAATTAATGAGCCAAATGGTATTAACAATCTTAAAATTCATGACACATATTACTGCATTAGTTTCTATAAAGTTTTTAATTTGCATTTCTTTTAGCAATGTAAGCTTATCTCTTTCTCACTTAGCTATACTGAAATTGGCTGAGTCTGTACATATATTTTATGTGTTAGACACATATAACAGTTTTAATTTAGAGACAATGTCTTGTTGTAAATTTTCATATTTACAAAGCTCAATATTTTCTCAAATGCACTTCCTTTTCTGTGACTTGTCTTAGTCTTGACCAGTTTCAACTACTATCACAGCTTAGATTGGCTGTTGAGTTTTAATATAGTTGTTAAATAAAATCTCTTATCTCCTGGTTTTTAATGCAGTTTTTTTATTCTTATAGAGTCAATCTTGAAGTATAAATACAGCCTTCTCTGAGAGTTCCTCCATTGGTTTTAAGTCTAGAAAATCATTTTCATCTGGAGAGATAAAAAAGAGTCACTTCTTTTTTATAATTTAATATTTAACATTTGGCTATAATCCATTTGGGATTTATTTTGACATTCAAGATCCCCTGGAAAATATTAATTGAAAAGAGGTCTGTTAAAGCTTCCTTTATACTATGGCTCTATTTTCATAAAAATGAATAGTTCTGGCTTCAGCACTACTCAAAAAATTTAAGAGCTTGGTGTGGTGTGGTACACACCTGTCATCCCAGCATTCAGGAGGCTGAGGCAGGAGGATCACCATGAGTTTGAGGCCAGCCTGGGCTATATAGTGAGTTCAAGGACAGCCTGAACTACATCAAGGAGGCTATCTCAAAAAACAAAGCAAAACAAAATGATTTTAGTAATCCTGCCAGAGAGGTGAAAGCACGTGATTAGCACCTGTGACTCTGTTTAAATAATTTATAAATTACAAGAGGTAAATGTCTTGCCTTTGGAGAAAGAGGTGAGGGGGCACAGAAACACACCACTGTTTTCTGTTTGTAGGTCAAGTTCTTATCTGTGCGAGTGATGACCGCACGTGCTCCCAGCTAAAGGACTACCTCACCACTGGGGCAGAGGCCTTCTTACTGCAGCTCTACAGGAAGGCATTTGAGAAAGACAGCAAAGCCGAGGAATTATGGATGAGATTTAGAAAGGAGGAAGGTTCGAAGAGAACTACAAAATCTAACAAAAGACCCAAAGACCTCCAACACAAAGAACGGGGTTCTGTCAAGGGAAAAATCCCCAAAAAGAAAAAAAGAAGGTTGACTGTAACTCAGATGATAGGGAAATCTGACGAAGTGGATGAGGAAGATGACGTCGAGGAGGGATATCCTAGAGACATAAGCAATAGCCCAGAAATCTGCTTGGAAGAAATCAAGCATGAGGAATTTGATTTAAATTTGTCGTCTGATGCTGCTTATGGACTCTTGAAAGAACCCCTCACCATCATCCATCCGCTCCTGGGTTGCAGCGACCCCTATGCTCTGACAAGGGTACTCCACGAGGTGGAACCAAGATACGTGGTTCTGTATGACGCGGAGCTCACATTCGTCCGTCAGCTTGAAATTTACAGGGCAAGCAGGCCGGGGAAACCTCTGAGGCAAGTCAGGAGTATTAACTGTTACTTAACGCTTCCATTTTCAGTTTCTTAGGATTTAACACAGAAACCATCCCAGTTACCTATGTTCTTATCTTTAACATTCCATCGCTACGTCGCTGGCTAGGGTCATGACACCTTCTCTTGCTTTGTGTTGAATCTGAGGAATTGCACAGGATGGGTATGAACTGTCAGCAGAGTAGTGCACTACAACACTATTCGTGATTCTGTTCTTTGCCATTATTTTTTTCTGTACCATATCTGTGTGTTAGTTTGTGGCTCATGAGGTACGGTACCTGAAAAGTCTAGGGAAATTTATAACATTCTAACTGCCACTAAAAGTTAATATAATCATGGCTTAGCTACACAATTTTAATCTTCTAAAATGTCCTCTAAATTTTAGTAAGTGACTAGATTATATCCACATAAAACTAAAGTGTGTGGGCGGAATTACTGGACTGACTTTTCTTGAGTTTCAGAAATGTATCAGATGAAAAAGCTACAGAAATATCAGATGAGAAAACGATGCCTCCCAGAGAATATAGTGATGTGGCTCTCCAATTATATGAAGGGAAATAAAAACCAAAATTAATATCCTGAACTCAATCTGAACCAAAAATTGAGCCAAAAGAAACCTTTCTAGCAGTTTAACTAATGCAGCCTTTCGAAGGAGAGATGAATGGAGGAGCTGGATCAGAAATAATGTAGAGATAAAGAGATTAGATGAAGCTGGTAAAATAATTGCAGTCTGGTAAATTTTTTCATACTTTGCATTGATCAACTTTGTAGATAGTTTGTGTGCAGCAAGCTTCTTTCTTGCCTGAGAGAACAGAATAGTGTACTATTTGGAATCAAAATATCAGAAGCAGAGGGGACCTGGGACTTCAGCCCCTCACTCTAGCCATGGAAAACTGAGGCCCAGAAAACTTGTGGGAGAGCTGAGGACTCTTAATTCATTAACCAATGATCTTTTCCCTATCTCAATTTCAAAGAAAGCATCTAGGCAGCTAAAAGCTAAAAGAAAAACTGAGGCTTTAAGGAAAATACCTCTGGTAGAAGGTAAAGAAAATACACCAGAGAGCTGCTTCACTCAGCCCCAACAAAATATAAAAGGAGGTCTTTTTCAGAGCAAATATGTCAAAGTATTTCTGAAATGCCTGATACAACCTGTATGTAGTCTGTCTGCATTTTTATATAATATGTATGATGGCTTCACTCTGTTAAGGCATGAACAAAGAACTCAAAACAGTCCATATAGATTTCATTTGTTTATTTTTCACTAACATGAACTTTCATAAGCTGGTTTTTATAACTACTATCTAGCTTTTTAAAACAGTTGTTTGGCAGAGTTGCAAAGAAAAATTTGAAAAAAAGAGAAGACTCTAAGGTTTTGTATTTTTTGATTTGTTCATAGTTATAAGGAAAGAATTAGGTTATCCCTGTAATTAAATTTCAATATTTACCTAAACTCTGTTCCCCTTTCTGATCAAAGAAAGGGAAAAAAAACAAACTTCATTAGTAATGAGATATTTAACAGGTGGGGTTTCAGCAGCTTAATTTGAGTAAATCGTGTGGTAGAAGAAATCTTTTATTCTTAGTTAAACATTTATTATTTGAGCACTGTAGGTTGCTGATTTCAAATGTTCTGTTATTCCTTTCATGGATTAAACTCTTATGTTTTTGCAACCTAAAAGAGTTCTGTCTCACCTTGCAGGGTTTACTTTCTTATATATGGTGGATCAACAGAGGAACAACGTTATCTCACTGCCCTGCGGAAAGAAAAGGAAGCTTTTGAAAAACTCATAAGGTAATAAATAAATGATGAGTATGAGAGTCACAACTAGAATGAAGCCCTTTGAAAGGCCAGGCTTCTTTCTGTAAATAGGGAAATAACCAGCAGCCCTCAGGGCGATGAGGAGGGCAAGAAGTTGGGTGAAAATCAGTCACATCAAGGCCGGCTGTAGTGATTTGTCCCACCTCATGCCTTGTGCACACATTTTTTTTTTTTTACTCTCCCTTTCTCCTCCCATCTCCATCTGCTTTTCAGTGCTTTGGTTCCTAGGGTGTAGGCTGTGTCCCTGCAGGACACTACAGAACATAATGGGATACAGACTGCGTCCCTGGAGGACCCTTGGTATCAGAAGTGTTTCAGAATTTGGAATGTTTACGTGTACATGGTAAGGTATGTTAGGGATGGGAATCCAAGTCTGACCACAGAAGTCATTTATGTTTCACATGCACCTTATGTACAATATTTTTAGCACACCTGCATTTTTTGTAACAGCCCATCATGTGAGGTCAGGTGTGGAATTTTCCACTTGTGGAATCATATCAGCACTCAGAAAGTTTTAGGTTTTAGAGCATTTTGAATTTTCAGATTAGGGATGCTCAATCTGTATTAGAAATGGGATAAAGCTGCTTTTCCGTTTATAAATGTAAAACACTAGAAATACAACAAAAACACTGCTTTTATAAGAACTATCTTCTTAACCCTCCATTTCCCCACTTTATGCACAAGATTCCCCTTCACCTTTTCTTTATTACTGCAGTTTACCGTACACAGTGATCACTCCATCATGTGAATTTTGTACGTGTACATAATACATCTCAGTTCTTTTTTCCCCTCCCCTCAATCATTCTTTCCCTTCCCATTTGCAAAAGCTCTGTTACCGTTTTTTCCCTTCAATTCTTTTTTTTTCCTTTATATCCCTTTTCCTTTCCCTCACTCCCTCCTCTCCCATCTCTTGTTCCACTTCCCATTTGAAAAAGTCTCCCTGCCTCCTACTGTCCATCTTCTGTTTTGCTCTTTATTTATACTTGGGTTTCTCACACAAGAGAAACAAAGCAGTGATTAAGCTTGCGTGTAATACATTTCACTTCAGGTTATGGGCTTGAGGTGTATCGGTCACCTAAGAGTGCCTCACATTTATTCTTCTTCATGCCATAAATACCACATTTTCTTTATCCATTCACCTATTGGTGGACATATGGGGTGCTTCTAAGATTTACCTATTACAAATTGTGCTGCTGTGAACATGAATACCCATGTATTACTATGGTCTGACAACTTTAGCTTTCTCAGAAAGATACCTAGAGGGGAAACAGCTGAGTCAAGTAGAACCTCTAGTTGTAGTTTTTTTTTTTGAGGACTCTCCATGCTAATTCCTCCCTTTGCTTTGAATTAGGACTTTTTTCCACCTCATAAAATTTCCATTGTCTGCAAACTACTGAACAGTGACTACCACTGACCAGGAAATACTTTTATGACTCAGCCAGTTCTAATCACCCTCTACAGAATCACTCTGCAAAAATGTTTTTTAAAGGTGTATTGTTTTAACATACATGTATGCTTTTGAGAATGGCTATCTGATAATATTCCAAATCCAGGTCAAAAATGCTTTTCAGTTTAACATAAGGAAAGTATATATGAAATAATCACAAACTGGCTGGCTAAGCCTCCCTGAAAGTGTTCAAGAAAGCAATGGCCACCTACCTGCAACACTGTCAGGGAGACGACAGTCAGTGGTGTAGGAGGATGGGCCGGATGACCTCCAGGGGGTCTCAGAACCCCAGCCAGGGCTGGATCCAGCATCACTGAGCTAGAGAAAAGCTAAGCCCGAGGACCATGGCCTGGACTGAGTGACTGAGCCCGGCCAGTCTTCCGTGCCATAGACATTGCCAGTCCACTAGTTGCGACCAGAGAGCAAAAATGACTTATAGTGGCAGCAGCCTGCTGGGGTGCTAGATGGACTTTCGAAACGGACAAGCATCCTCCCATGCTGCCTATGGGTTCTCAGGACACGTGTAGTATGTGCATCCCTGGTGAGTTGAAAGCAAGCGTTCTACACACAGTGGTGGTTCAGTGAACGCTGGACCAGTGCCATCAAGTCCCTCTCGGGTTCAGCACGGTATGCTGGTGGTACGCTTCTCCTCCCTCCAAATCTTCTAGAATTGTGACATGCCTTGTCCATAAAATCTTCCAGCTACTACTAGTCATACAACTATTTCCTCTAAGCCTATGAAAATATGTTTTCTACTAACGTGCTCTAGGGGACCGCCTTTGTGGAATATGCAATGTAGATATATTTTTGAAAAATGTTATACACATAGTGTAGTAACAAAGCAGTTATAATACAGACTACCCCTTCTTGTTCAAAGCTCGTAAAGCCCCCATCTTACTGTATCTTCTAGACCTTCACCCTCCCAGACTGAAGTGGTAGATATTTATAAAGCATGTACTTCATATCAGGCCCAGAGCAGATATTAAAGTGCTGCGATTACTGTGGGTACAGAAAGCCTCTGCCTTCCTCAGCTTTCCTGTAGAGGAAAAGAAAGGCACTAAATAATATAAATATAATAGCATTCAGAGAACTGATGGCAGCAAAGGTAAGAGAAAAAGGTGTAACAAGAGAACGTGTTAACGAGACTTGACCCAGGCCACAGGCTGGTCAGGAACAGCTTCATGAGGAAGCGGTGCTTAAGCTGGTACTTGGAAAATGTGCAAGAGCTGCCAGGCGTGTGCGGTGGGTGGGGGGAGGACAGAACAAAGGTGTGAGAGAAGGCTCAGAGCACAAGACGCCCTGGCAAGCAGTTAGCGCTTCAAGGACAGCAGGATGGGATTGCAGCTGTCTAAGTAGAAATGTGACTTAAACGCATCTTTAAGGGCTTTCTCCGGGCCGGGCATGGTGGCGCACGTCTGTAATCCCAGCACTCTGGAGGCTGAGGCAGGAGGATCACTGTGAGTTCGAGACCAGCCTGGGCTACATAGTGAGTTCCATGTCAGTCTCGACTACACAGTGAGACCCTGTCTCAAAAAACCAAAAAAAAACACTTTCTCCGTCATAAAACAGAAATGGAAGAATGTGGAGACTACTCAGAAGGCTCCTGCACTTGTCTGATCAAAGAAAGTGGTAGCGAAACTTAGGTGAACAGAGAGGAGAAGACAGATTAAGAGGTATTCAGGAGACAGAAGCAAAGAAGTGGCGACCTTGCACATGGCTAGTATCTCTTAATCATTCTTTCACTTGTTTAAAAAACCTCTTTTGACTTTTCTGTGATGAAAGTAATTGTCACACAATTGTCAGTGGATACATAGAGCTAGAATACTCAGATGAGTTTACTGGTGTTCATGTCAGGGACCCCAAGGCTCAACTAGAAGGTGAGTCGCAGGAGTCAGAAAAACTTCCACTCTCAGTATGGTTTGTTAAAGCAAAAGTCATGAAATGAAAATCAACAAAGGGAAGAGGCACTCGAAGGAAGCCAAAGAGAAACTTACATCAGCTTCCCAGTGTCCGTACCAGGTAGAGTCACACAGATGTGCTTAACGTTGCCCACAAAATGTTGGCACCAGGGCTGGGGATTTAGCTCAGTGGCACCTGCCTCACAAGCACAAGGTCCTGAGTTTGATCCCTGGTTCTGGAAAACAAAAAAATGTTGGCAACAAGGAAATTCATTGGAACTTTGATAGGCAAAGTTTTCACTGGGCTCAGTCACATAGAACGACTTGCCTTGTGACTACCTGCAGCCACTTAGACTCCACCCTCCACCGCACCCCCCCAGAGCAAAGTTAGACATTTACCATAAATCATACTGGTAGATCGGCTCTGTGATCCAGCTGGTACACAGGACCAAAGGCCGCAGGCATATAAAACCCTCCAAGCAGGCAGAATACTCGGTAGGCTCGCAGTTTGTCTCTCAGGAACTGGCCATGGGTCAGTCCCAAGGAGCCAGGTCTTTTGTGGAAACGTGCAGAGCTTGAGCAACTCCGGCCTATGAGCTGACCTTTTCCCCATTCAGGCTGTAGCCAGAGCAGGTGTTAGACTGTGAGGAGGGCATCATTTGAGGGGAGTGGGTTTTATATCCCATGTTTTCCTCATGCATGTCCATCTTTCCTGGTACACCAAGGAGCTCAGTGCACAAAAGGATACTTAAGTAGATAGTGATAAAGTGTTGTGCACCCCATGCTTCTCCTGTTCTATACAAATGATTCTGTATATCAAAAAATAGCAGCATGTGCATAAGCCCTGCACGTATGGCAACCTCACCCAGCAGAACCAGGATCGTGGACTCGGGCCCCCATTCAGCCAAAATAGTATCCACTCCAGGTTATGTAATTCCATCCAAGATCTGGCATAATCTTTCCTAAACTCTCACAGTGGTGATTGCCTACTTATTATAAATACCATAAGGTCTTCCATTTTACCCAGCAGTCAGGAAAGGTTGCACTGTTTAGAATTTCAGGATACAGTGCTCGCTTCGGCAGCACATATACTAGAGTTTCAGGATACTTACTTTCCCAGAAAACATAGAGAATTTGAGAGGTATTTGTTTTGAAAAACAAAACATTTGAATTTCACTGCTGAAAGCATTTGCGCTGTGCCTATGCTTAGAAGAAAATTGAATGTGAGAATAAGATGCTTTGCCAAGATCTCTGTAGGTGACGTTGTCAGAACAGATACTGCTTTACCATTTGAGATAACCAAAAAGGATGAATCAGATGAACCAGCAGAGAACAGAATGTTTAGATGAAGTAAAGATTGGTATATTTCAGATGATAAGAGAAAAAGGTTACACACTGAGTATTGGTAATGAAATGCTCGCTTGGCAGAAAAATTCCTTCCAAGGTCCTCAGCACCATGGTCTTGAAAGTCATTGCTTTTCAAGGGAAAGGTTATTTTTTTGAAAACTTACTGTTAGAAAATATTGTCACAAAGTAGGTTAGCAAAGCTTGAAGAAATGCCCATTTGAAGAGACGTGATGTAGCATCTCCTTCCTTCGTTGTAATGTTGTACAGCGTATGGAGATGTTGAAAATATTAAAGCAAAAAACAGGCAACCTCAGTACTTTAAGAGGAAATCAGAACCTTATTTTTTAAGTTATTTTGTGTCTGTCACATAAAATAACTTAGATAATTGTGTCAAATGGTGAAGGCAAGGGACTGAATATAATTTCTGTAAAATTAATTTGGGTTACTAGTCCCAGTTTCATTTCTGGAGTCTATTATTTCTCAGAAATTGAGGGCCGGGGATTTAGCTCAGTGGTGCTGCCACCTGCCTTGCAAGCGCAGGGTCCTGAATTCAATCTCCGGTACCAAAAAAAGAATGGGACAGAAATTAAAACCATTATGAAACGATTTGGAAGCCTCCCTTCAGGCCAGGTGCAGTGCCACACGCCTGTAACCCAGCTACTCAGGTGGCTGAAGCAGGAATATCATAGTTCAAGGCCAGCCTGAGCAGCTTAAAAATTAAATTTAAAAAAATGTTAATGGGCTAGGGATGTAGCTCAGTGTAGAGGACCTGGCTACCATGTACAAAGTCCTGGGATTAATCTCTAGTACCTTAAAAAAGGGGTGGGGTGGAGAAAGCTCAGTATTTTAGTATAATCCTGGGTAATTAGGAGATGTGATTCCTACATGATAAGAAAAATACAGTAATAACAGCTTGATTATTTAAGAGCTTGTAATGGTGTAGTTCTAAATTGCAAATTTTAGTTTTTATTACATGGTCCTCTAGATCTACGAGGTAGAAGACACTGAGCTACCTTAAAAATAGGAATTGTTCCATGATTGTGTTTGTATCCAGAATACCTAGCACTGCACACAGGAGCACTCTAAATATTTTAAAATAAATGTGTGAGTAGTGGGGCATGATGGTACATGCTCATAATCCCAGCGCTGTGAGAAACTGAGGCAGGAGGGTTACAAATTTGAGCCCACCACAGGCATTTTAGCAACTTAGCAAGTACTTGTATCAAAATTTTAAAAAACAAAAAAGGACTGGCTCTGAGAAGGCCGTGGACTCAATCCCTACCACAGCCAAAAATTAAAAATAAAATGTGTGAATGAATAATGAAAGCTACTCACCAAGTATAACCTGAGATGTTGATATTATGTTGAGTTCTGTGACAAAATTTTCAATTTCTGGTATTACTCTTGCTTTTCCTTTAAAATTGAGGATGTTTAATGGACTCCAACCTGCAGATTCTTTAAGTCAAAGTTCTGTCCTGTATGTATTTTCATTCTCTAATTATTGGTTTTTAACCTCCCTACTTAGCATTACTCTGAAAATACTTTAATGTAAATTATTTAAATTATTTTTGAATGCTAATAACAGTTTAGTCTTACAGGCTTAAGTAATCTTTGTATGACATTTTTTGTTTGTTCTTTTGTTTTTTGAGACAGGGTCTCACTATGTAGTTGAGACTGACCTGGAACTCACTATGTAGCCCAGGCTGGTCTTGAACTCACAGTGATCCTCCTGCCTCAGCCTCCCCAGTGCTGGTATCACAGGTGTGCGCCACCATGCCCGGCTTTTATGACATTTTTTATATGTTTATTTCTTGTCTAAAAATACTGCGCTATAGAATTTTTTTTAAAAAAAACACTTTTTTTACTCTGGAGGATCAGGAAGTAGAGCTCAACCGAGAAATTATGTCTGCCTCCAGTATTTGTCATGGTCTTTACATATTTACAAAAGTGCGATGTATTTGTTACATTTTCTTTTACCAGCATAGCCATGTAGCTCATTTTAGATATTATAATTTTCAAAATTTTTAAATTTAAAATTTTAATTTTAAAATCTAGAATTTGGATGTTAATCCCCCTAAAAAGTTGTAAATGTTTTCTCTCACAGGGAAAAGGCTAGCATGGTTGTTCCTGAAGAAAGGGAAGGCAGAGATGACACCAATCTGGACTTAGCAAGAGGTCCGGCATCGACACACACCGCCGCAGACACGCGCAAAGCTGGTGAGTCCTGCCCTTGGCCAGAGCCCCTGTTGCCAGTAAGAGGCTGGGAGGCCCCACGGTTACTCTACAGAAGGTTGGTTTTCCCTACCAAACTCTTAAAAATAGAGAAGATGCCTGCTCCCAGACTCCAGCCTCAGCGCTGCCATTTACTAACCATGCGTCATCCCCAGAATGAAGGTGCTGTGTCATCTGTGAAATGAGTGGGGTTGAGTTCTAGGCAGCCCAGCTCAGAACAAGTTATGTTCCTTGGGTGGATTTAAAATGGATTGGTTGAGGCTCAGAATGTACTTTTCCAAAGAAACTTTGGTAAATGCTAATGAGCCCAGTTGACTCATTGAGTAGCTAAAAGAAGTTTTGCTTCCTTCTTTTACCTCCCCTCTTAGATGTACACATAGGTGGGAGTTAATTGGGGTACCTACATTTCCACTCTTTCTGCATTCATTTGCGACTTGCTTGGTGTTTCTCCCGCTGTCTGGCCCTCTCAGTGCTGTGCGGCATTCACACTGCAGCATGCCACCAAGACCTGCCCATTCCAAGTGTTCCCTGATCCAGAAGTAACCATTCCCCACTCCCCAAATTCGCCTTTTCCCGTGGCAGCAGCTGGTATCAGCCAAGCAGCATGAGAAAGGTAGTACGATTGACTCGATAGGATCTTTGGTGAGAGACCCAGTTAGAGCATTGGGTCTCAGAATTTAGTGGACTTTATATAACTTCAGATGCTTGTTAAAAGTGTGGGCTCATAGGCCACATCTCTAGGAATTCTGATTCAGTGGTCATGTATTAGAGCCAGCATCTCAGGGACTCCTCACAGAAGTGGTAGTCCTTGGATCATACTTCAGGAAGTGCTGTCTTTTGAAGAAGACCCTTAACAGCTCAGATGAGCTGGTGACATTTTGTGAAGAGCTGCACAATGTAAAGCAGTATGAAATAGGATTTGAGCGTGTAGGAAGCTCTTTGTAGAAGTCCACCCTTTTGAGATCAGTCCTCGAAGCCTTTATATAAGTTTCCTATTGCTGCTATTTAAAATCTCCACAGATTTGGTGGCTTGAAACAGCACGCGTGCATTGTGACACCGTTTTTGCAGGCGGGACAGAATTTCGAATGGGTTTCATTGGACTGACATCAAAGTATCAGCAGGCCTGTATTCCTTCTGAGGGACCCAGGGAAGAAGCCTTCTCCCTGTTTTTTTCCAGTGCCTAGAAGCCGCCTGCATTCCTTGCCTCATGCCCCTTCTCCCACTTTTAAAGCCAATAAGGTAGTGAATTTCCCCTGAGGCCTACCCAGCCTCAAAATACTTGACTCTGTCACCTTCACAAAGTCCCTCTTCCTGTGTCCAGTAGCATTTATAGCTTGTGAGGACGGCGGCATGAGCACATTTGGGAGCCCTAATTCTGCCTACAGCTACTGTTGATACTTCCAAGTGTCACCCTTCGACCAGCTGCATCAGCATCGCGTGACCCTGCCAGACATGTAGTCTTAGACTCGTCGGACCTCCGACTCGCTAATGTGGTCCTTATGCCCCAGACCTGCTGAGTACAGAGCTGCTTTCTAACAATCCTGCGTGATTCCTGTGCACACTTGAGTTTGAGAAACTGTGTTCACGGTCTCCCCATTTCTTCACTTTCCCCATCGCTGGACTCTGAGGTGACTGTGACAGCTCCTAAGACAGTGTGTGAGGGAGCGTGTCAGGCACCTGCTGTGTGTCGGTCACTGTCCCGGGACTGGGCGCTGCAGTGATCAGCACTAGTGCTGGCCACAGGGCAGAGCAGAGCAGATGTTTTGTGCTTCTGAGTCATCGCATGTCAGGAACTACTAATAAATTCTAACTTTCCTGTTAGTTCTGTTCAGTTTAAGCAAATGTAATTTCCCTCTCCTTTCTCTATAAATAATTTTTGAAAAGCTAGAAAAACATGGCATAATAATACCGTGTAGTATTATGTAACCATCCATCAGAGGTTAACAACATAGATTTTGAACTTTGTTGTATTTTTACTTTGAGAATTCTTTCCCAGTGACATGACTTAAAATGATAGTTGTTGTTTTTTTTTTTTTAAGGTGGCCAGGAACAGAACGGCACGCAGCACAGCATAGTTGTGGACATGCGTGAATTCCGAAGTGAGCTCCCATCTCTGATCCATCGCCGGGGCATTGACATTGAACCTGTGACTTTAGAGGTTGGAGATTACATCCTGACGCCAGAAATGTGCGTGGAGCGCAAGAGCATCAGTGACTTGATCGGCTCTCTGAATAACGGCCGCCTGTACAGCCAGTGCATCTCCATGTCCCGCTATTACAAGCGCCCTGTGCTTCTGATCGAGTTTGACCCCAGCAAGCCCTTCTCTCTCACAGCCCGAGGTGCCTTATTTCAGGAGATCTCCAGCAGCGACATCAGTTCCAAACTCACTCTTCTCACGCTTCACTTCCCCAGACTGCGCCTCCTCTGGTGCCCGTCCCCTCATGCAACAGCAGAGCTGTTTGAGGAACTGAAACAAAATAAGCCACAGCCCGATGCCGCCACAGCCATGGCCATCACAGCAGATTCTGAAACCCTGCCCGAGTCGGAAAAGTATAATCCTGGTCCCCAAGACTTCTTGTTAAAAATGCCAGGGGTAAATGCCAAAAACTGTCGCTCCTTGATGAACCACGTTAAGAACATTGCAGAATTAGCAACCCTGTCACAAGACAAGCTCACAGGGCTTCTGGGGCACACCGCAAATGCTAAGCAGCTTTATGACTTCATTCACACCCCTTACGCAGAAGTGGTGTCTAAAGGCAAAGTGAAAAAGTGAGCAGTGGTGGCTGTTTGATCATTGGTGACTGTGCTTTTCAACTGTTCTCTGCCAACCACACTAAGTCGTTATGAATTATTTGTTCAGTGATCCATACTTCTCCATTGCTCTTAATGATCGTACATCTGCCTCCAAGGTCGGTGGAGCAGAAGCCGAGACTCCTCTCTGAACAGTGTGCTTAGGTATCTTTAACTTTCGCTTGCCTGCTCTGCTCATCCTACGTTGTCCCTGGCAGGCTTACTGTGCTCCATTTTTAAATGAGCTACGTCAAGATCAGGGAGCGCTTCCGCCAAGTGTTTATCGAAGACTGTTTTGAAGCGAGGAGAGGCAGCCACCTCTAAAACTGGCTGGCTAGGCTCACCCAAGTACATGCAGTACATGTTACAGCTCAGCTGTCCAAAAGCATCTCCACACCCCTTTGTTTCAAATGAGATGAGTTATTAATTCACAAAATTTGATGGTGTAGGTGAAGGTGCCCTTAGAATTCTGTTTCTGCAGATGTTGAACCTCCTACATCTCAAGATTTCCAAGCCTAAGTGACCCGTTTCAGAGTTCCACAGAGCTCCTCTTCTCCCTGCTCTCAGTGAGCCCAGGACACCATGCCACATGCTCTGGCATCGTCCCCTGGGCCTCACGTCACGGTGCAGAGCACCTCTGCCTTCCCTGTGTGAGGCTTCAGTGACAAGCAAGCGAGCTACCCATCAAGCTTTCAAGATTCCCTTGTCTTCCCTCTGCCCTCAGATAGAAGGGTTGAAGGTAAATGGAAGATCAGTGTACAGAATATATAAAAATTCAAAAGACATATATACATATATTTAAAAATCCATAAAGAAACTAATCTCATTCTAAATCTCCTGATTGACTTAAGGTGGCTTTTTACTGCAGTGTACATAGAGGACATTCATAGCATCTCTGTGCCATTTTTAACTTTGATATTTAAGCATTATTAACTTAGCTGTTACATATTGAGTAGTGAGCAGTAAATTTCCTACCTCAGAATTTTGACGTAGACATGAATTCTGCTAGCTGTGTCACATAGTTCAGCATTTCATCCGTGTCAGCTGTTTTTTTGGTTTGTCGCACTGTACGGAGATAGTGGACCTTGTAACAAAAAATTGTCTTCAACTTTAACAGAAGCAGTGTAACTGGACCTCTCAGATTAGCATCTTGATTTGTTGGTACTCAACAGTACCATTGTCTATCGGTATCCATAGTACCCTCCCATGGTACCAAAATGTGAGATGCTTAAATTCCTTATGTAAAATGCCATAGTATTTGCCTGTAACTTAGGCATTTCCTCCTGTATACTCCACATCATCTCCAGATGACTGATAATACCTAGTACAATGTATATTTTATGTCAGTAGTTGTTACACTGTTTTGTTTAAGGAATAGTGACAAAAAGTCTGTACATGTTCGGTAGAGATACAAGTTTTTCCCCAAATGCTTTCAGTCCTCACTTGGTAGTAAAAGCCCATGGATCCAGAGCCTTTGCATAGGGAAAGCCAACTGTGGGAAGAGTATTATCTCTGGATATACCGATTGGGAACTCAGTGCTGGAGATGGAGCTCAGTATAAATTTATAAATTACTTGCCTAATATGCACAAGGCCCTGGGCTCAGTCCCTAGCACTGCAAAACAAAATCTAAAGTGTTTTAAACTGTATGCAAGGTACTACAAGAACAACTTGAGGGGTCTCAAGAATCAGATTGGTTGCAGAACCCGGTAGCAGGGTGGCGAGGCTGTTTGTATTATTAAAAGCTCTAAAAGGTTCACCATCACTGCTGTAAGAGGTGGAGAACAGGAATGGTGACACAGGAAAATTAGATAAAGGTGAAACAAAGACTGGGCTGCTGATTTTGTCCCAGATGTAAAAAACATACCCTCTGGAATAGAAAAGAACTTTTGAATGATTACAGTATGAATTTTAACGCTCACTTTTATATTTCTTTTATTGAAGAGTTCAGTCATAGTTCAAAGGCCATTAAAATAGGCACCACTTCAGATGGTAATGAATATTACATTCCTTCACCCTAGTCTAGCATTTCTGCTTATGGTATATAATTTTTTTTTCATATATATTTTCACTTTACCTTCTATTGCTGTTTCATTACATAAAACAAAAATGTTAACAGCACATTTTGCAATGGGAGTTGCACTTCTAGTTCAGTTTTCAAAACTAAGCTCTTCTCAAAGCTACCATTTTAAACAGCCCTTGTTAACTAGGAAAAACATACAAAACACGATTTACTTTTTGGGGGGATACTGGGGACCGAACTTGGGACCTTGTGCTTGCAAGGCAGGCGACAAAACCACTGAGCTGAATCCCCAGCCCTAGAAAATACTTATAAATGCATTTATTTCTAATGTCCCGCGGTTCTCAGAATCTGCCATTCACTGTTAATACCTGCTAGGCATGAAGACAGGTGCACTATCCTATATGTATTTGAATTACGATCAAAAATTTCAAATTAACTCTAAAATGGTCATTATGGGTGAAGGACTCTCACTCCCACTTCCTTTTCCAACTGAGTATATTTTAATGTATTTCCAGTTGAGAGCTTTTCCTATATCCATAACTATTTCATTTTCTCAAATTTTTAATGAATTTTTACAATCTAAGATTGATAGAAGTCGAGATGCATACATTACAAAATTATGAATTTATTTTCTAACATTTTGCTAACTTTGCTTTTGTTTTCAAAATAGTAAGTATCCAGTTTACTGATGAACTTGTGTGTAGCTTTTTTAAAACTTTTTTTTTAAGCTAGATCAGTATTTTATTTGTTTTGCTTTTTCATTTCAGTTTGGTTTTTATGTACTGAGGATTGAACCCAAGGCCCCCATTCTGACTACATCCTCACCTTTTTTTATATTTTATTTTGAGACAAGGTCTCAGTAAGTCAGCAAGTTGCCCAGGCAGGGCTCCTGCCTCAGCCTCCCAGAGTGCTGGGATCATAGGCATTTGCCGCAACACCCAGCCTGTTTTACAAGTTTTTAACATAAAATATGAACATCTGAAGTATGTTTAACTCATATAGTCTCTCTTAATCTTTTAAACTATAGAAGACCATGTATAGTGGCCATAAATATTGTCCTTTAGGCAGCATTGTCCTTTAACTGTAACTGTTTCTTTAAGCCTGACATTTAATAGACTGTATGTCTGCAGTTGTTTGCTTTCAGGATGCTGTTTGCCAGTTCACAAGGGACTGAAAATAATTGTCTCATTCATCAACCCACTAGGACAGGAAGGATTAGATCCAGATTTGGTCACGTGGTAATAACGTCATAGAACTAATAAATGTCCTGATAAATGGTATGGGAAAGCCTTCCATAAAGCACATCTGAAGCATTAGGCAGGGAGGGAGACAAGGGCTCTTGGTCTTTGCTTTTGTTTTTCCAGCATAACTCGACTTTTCCTTTGGCTCAGAAAACTTCTTTAGGGAAACTCTCTCATGTTCAGTGTTCCCTTCAAAATCAACTCTTTAGGAAAATGCTTTCTCAAGTTTGAGTAGATTCAAATGTAATCGGGCTTTGACATGAATTGTTATTATTTGGCTTTCTGTTTTGGTTTATAGCTATTTCCTGCCGGATTCTGAATTTCAGTGCTTAATTACCATATTTACCAACAGATTTTTGGTGGTCTATGCCATTATGCTGTTTTTGTTTTGTTTTCTTTTTAATTTATGGATGTGTAAGCCGCAGTTTGCTTGGGAGGAAGATAAAACTGAAATATATTTATTTCTAACAAGTGTGTGTGAATTTAATAAAATGCATATTCAGTATTTTTCTCCTCATCTTAAGGACACAGTAAACTATAACAATATGTAGTGAAAGAGTATATATATATATATATATATATATATTATCAGCAATGTATTGGTACATATTTAAAATTCAGAGAATATTTAATTTTTTCTTTTTCATTGTGCAGAATAAATAATTAAGGCTGAAATGCCTCTTGAATCTCTGCTTCTGTGTTTGACTTACAGCAGTAGTAACCCACTTTGTAAGGCATCATTGTATTTTTTTGTTTATTTTCCCTTCCTGCTTTTTATTCTGTAGCATATCTCTCGAAGAGAAAAGAACCCTGTTCTTTGGGAAATACTCATTTCTTGGTATAAGTGTGTGGCAAGCACAAAGCCTGGACCATCTTAACAGAAGTTCATTTTCTGCCACCCCTGCCACATACATTTTTCTTTCATTAACTTCACAGTTGGAAGAAGTGAATCGTCCTTTAGACACCTCTGAGACTCACTGTCATTTCTTAAGTTTACTAGTTTATGAATCGGCTCCTTTCAGAGATTTAATGATCATTGCTTCTGCTTTAAAGTGAGATCTGTATCCCTTTTTAATAAGATGTAAAGACAGGTTATTTCTCAAAGTGTTCTAATCTGTAAATAGAGACTGGCAGGCTAAGGGGCCCTTTTCCTAGGAGGGGTAATATGACTCACATTTATTGAGCATTTGTGCACTGTTCCACATAATCCTCATAACAAAGCCACAAAGGCTTTATCTAATCCTCTGTGGCAGCGATGAAGCAGAGAGATTACATGATTTGCACAAGGCTGCCTGATAGTAAATGGTGAAACCTCGCAGTGAAGCCCAAGTGGGTACAGAGCCCCCCCCAGGAAAAGGTCGGAAAGGGGGCAGGTCGTGGGAAGCTGAATTGTGTCCACTTTCCTTTACCTCCAAGTACAGGAAAGAGTAAACTGGTTTGTCTTCGTATCTTTCTTAAATAGGAGTGTCCAGAGCAAGTATGTGAAACTTGAAAGTAATACAATACCTTTGTTGTTGCCAAGTAGTCTGTGTGGACCTTTTGCTGGCCGATGAGGAAGGGTGCTTTTCCCCAGTGTGGGAATAGATGTTAACTCTAACTCGTAGAAAAGGAGGACAGTACAAAGGATTCTTGTCCAATAGCATTGTAAGGGGTATGGCCAGGTACGGCCTTCTACCATCTGGCCCTTCTTGGTAAATTTATTCTCCGTTCCTTTGTCCGATCAACCGTCTAGGTCTTTGGTTTTCTTCCCAACCACTCTAAACATCTTCTGGATTTCCTCATTAGTTCAGTTCAATAAAATCTTTGGCTTCTTTTTTTATGAGTCATGTTTTTAAGTTTTGAAAATTAGATTTTGTGATTAACGTTGCCAGCATGTGTGTGTTTATGTTTTATGCATATATGTTTTGTGCATACATCTTAATTTTAACAATTATAGACAAACTCAGTGGACTTCTGTTTCTCATTTTCTTTACCAAAGCTCAGTGTTTAATCTGAGTTCCTTTTCTGCATAGCCATTGAATGTCAATGTTAAAGAGACTGATTCCCGAATGAGAAAGAAGAGCTTTAGATATTCCCAGGGACCAAGATATCTACATGAGAAGACGGCTCTCAGGGAGCTGGAAGGTAAACAAAATCCACTTGTGATTTCCAAGGGGTTTCCTGGGATTCATGAAATAGTAGCACGGCCTATTTGGAACCCTTCCCTGTAATTCTGAGATCCAGGATTTGGTGTCAGAATGCCTTTCGCTGCGGAAGAGATCTGCCTCCCTGGGTAGCTTGATTCTGGGAAGGTGACACCCAGCAGAGGCTCAGGAGAGAAGATGGTTTAGTAGAGTCAGGGAAGCCTGCCTGGGCAGGTCTGTTTCCAGCGTCAGGAATGCATTGCATAAGGGCTCAGAGCTCTGGCTGGGTTTGCTGCTGTAACAGCACGCCATAAGGGATGCTCAGTCCTGCACGGAGGGAAGTCAGAAATGCCACAGGAGAGGCGTAAGTGCTTGGAAGTCAGAGGAAGAGGTCAAATCCATGTAGGGACTGGGAGTGGCCCTGGAGCAGAGGAAGAATTCAGAATGAGTTGTAAAGGAGAGGGAGGACTTCAATAGGTGGCACCGTGAAGCCAAGGCCCCCAGGTCGGTGCAGAAACAGTTGGAAACAGAATGATGGAGTTTAAAGAGTCACGAATAGTAAAAAGGAAGTGACATGCTGAAGCCACATTGTTGGAGGCTAGAATGAGGGGCCTGTGTTGTGGTCCTGGGGATTGAACCCAGAGCTTTCACACTGAGCTACATGACAGCTCCTCTTCTATCCACCATTCCTTGCTGGCAGGAAGGAAGGACTGGAAGAAATACCCACTTCTGGGGCCACTGTAATGATTTCAGCAATCTGTAATGGGGAACAGAACTAGGAAGATGGCTTTGGAAATGGAAAGGGTATAAATCAGAGCAGCAGCTAAGAAAGGCAATCTGGAAAAGGGAAGAGATGCTGAAGGAGTCTCAGTAGTGCCCAGATTTTAGGCTTGGCCTCAAGAAATGATGAGACTGTTACCAAAAAAAGTTTGAAAAAGGACCTGGTTTGTTTTGTTTTGTTTTGGCAGCACTTGGGGTAGAAAGCACAGTTTAATCAAGTTGTTGTGAGACAGCTGAGGGCCAGGGTGATACAGGAAATGATATAGAACCTCTAAATACAATAATAGGGATAATATAATTTTTAATCTGCTAGATGTCTGACACACCTTGTTCATGTGCTCCAAAATCAAAGAATGAGTTTTAAGGAACAACAGCAGTTAAGAGTAGGAACTATTGGGGCTGGGGATTTAGTTCAGTGGTTCGGTGGCCTGCCTTGCAAGCACAAGGACCTGAGTTCAATCCCCGGTACCAAAAAAAAAAAAAAAAAAAAAAAAAAAAAAAGAAACAAGAGTAGGAAATATTTATTGAGGGGAAAAGATAGAACTCCTGAGAAGCAGGAAGAGACCTAAAAGTGGGTTGCTGATGATCCCACTTAGGAAAAGTTCCATAGAGCACAACCACGTAGGTACAACATGGGTTACAGTTATGATCAACCAAGAAGATTATAAGTACAGTCGCTTAGAAAACATTGATCCCCTGGGGAAGCAAGTCACGTAACAAGTGTACATGGAAGGAACAAAGAACTTTTTAGAAAGGGATGGGTCTAAGAGTCTTAGTCACCCACTGAGGTGCCTGATGTTCATCTAGACCTCCTTAGACAAGAAGCTACCATTTATCTTAGGCCAAGTCATTCATTTCCTCTTTATCTTGAGGCCTGGCCTCTTAGAGATGCACCTCTGGCCACAATGGTAACGTGTTTTCACCTTTGTCCTGACTCTTGAGGGCCTAGCCCTATTTTTACCTAGCTTAGTTGTCTATAATAAGGGGATAGTCACAACTGAAGATGTAGCAGACATCTGCCCTGAGATGAGAGTTGAGGACCTCAAATAAACAAATGATTAAGTTTTTAAAAAACAAAAAAGATCCACAGACAGAACTGCAGAAAATGTCCACCCCAAGGTGAGAAGGTGGAAGAAACAGAATAGGAGGAAGAAAAGGACTGAATCACACAGCAATCAGAATAAAAGGCAGAAGGGACTTCCAAGGGGGTGACCTAACAGGAGGTGTCCAGTAATCCAAGTGCCAGTGGCTCAAGGCGCACCATGAGGAGAGCTTGGCCACCCTGGGTGGTACGGCTGGGAGCCCCAGAGGGTGACAAGTCCTTGCAGAGGAGGAAAAGCAGAAGGTCAAAGGTGACTTTGTTTGTTAGTGATCCAGAAAAAAGAGCAGAGAGCAGACTGGGAGAACCAAGATTCCTGAGGGAGAAGAAATAAATAATGAGACCACATCTGGGTGCTGGAGATCTGGAGATGGAGGGAAAAATAAAAGTGTTTTTTGCTCTTCTTCCTCTCACACCTACAGAAAACCTGTTTTCGTATTGATCTGCCTCCCCTTAAAGACCAGAATTTATGTTACCACGAGTACCCCCTACTTGGAAGGGAAATGGCTAGCGACAGTAAATAACAGGAGCCCTTTTCTGAAGCCTTCTGTTTTAACAATGTCCTGGTGCTGTTTGGCAGTGTGGTCTGGGTGTGTTTAAGCTGGCTAGGGAAAGGCCTAGACCTCCTCTCTTTGTAACCTAGCTTCATAATTTTGTTATAATTTAAAGCATCCCGTTCAGTGGTTTATGAAATCAAAACATGTGCTGGCTCATGTCACCTGGAAACTGAAAGTTGACGTTCAGGAACTCTCACTAGCCAATCCCAAGACTTCCAAAGGATTTTTATTTTGGTTGTACTGTAACTGGGGCGGCCAAGTTGCTATGGTAATTTGTTCTCAAAACAGAGCACTGCCTCAGTGCATTGAAACAGATAAATCTGCTTTATGTTGATCGTGACATTCGTTCTAGTTAAAATAATCCCTATGCTCTCATCGGGACTTGTGTATAGGAGTTTTAAATCGGGGTCAAGAAGTCATTGGCTAAAAGAATCGCAACTTGGGCTTTTTAAACCTGGGCCTTTCACAATTCACACAATTGGAGACGGTTGGCTCGCAGCCCAGAGCTCTACCATGGAGGTGGCTTGCAGCTGGGGGAAGGTTCATCCCGGAGCAGTTATGTGGTTAATTGCTCCAGTGTGGGCATAGGCTAAAAGTTGTGACTCACGCCACGCTGTCACTAATAGAGTGGGTGGGGGTGGGGCGGGCCAGATGCAAGGATGCTCTGGGAAGTCAGCAGCTGCCTCCCCGCAGAGATCTCCCCTTGAGGTGGGAGAGGCAGAGCCTCACTCCCCAGAGGCAATCCTGGTCTCACCAGTAGAGGTCCCCATCGAGTCACGGGTCCTAAACTAGCCATGCTGGAATCGCTGGACGCTTTAAGGATGACTGCACTTTGAATTGGAGTGTATCTGCCTCCGACTCTTGCTTAACTGTGACATGGGAGAGAGAGAAAAGAAAGTAAGTGCCTGACTTCTAGTATGACTCACTGTAAACAAGCAGAGGACAGATTCGCTGCCTCTTATCAGAGCCCGAGTATGCGCCCCAGGATGAGCATGAATCAGAGTAGAAGTGGTCTTGGTCAGAGGGATTTTTCCCTCAAGGCAGAGGTGACTTTTGGGACAGTGTTATGGATTTCATGAATACTGTCAGTGATCCCATGTTAAACCCTGGTCTTCTAGGTGAGGTCAAATCCCCTGAAATCCGAGAAGGCTTTCAAGTTAAAGATGCAAACTGGCCATACCTACAAAGAAATTCATCTGGATTTGACGAAACGTTTGCAGTGTTAGTAATGATGGTTTTGCAGCATTGGTGTCAACACTCATCCAAGTACACTTGAAATGTGTTCAGTTTATTGTATGTATATTCTACTTCACGGTTTTTCAAAGAAGAAATACAGTTAACCGTTTAGCAGGAGAAAACAAGTGATCAACCCTCAGTCGCTGCGACTAATCACGAAGCTCCAGGTAACTCCTCACGTCCTTATCCACACCCACCTGCTTGGTTCTGGCAGCAGAAGGGCACTGGTAATGAAGGGGTCACGGTCTCCCAGTATGTTGGTTGGATGAGTTACTTATTTGGACTCAATTCCCTATTCTCTGGACCAAAGGGAATGGAAATGGTAGGAAGAGGTGAAGCTCAGCTGGCTACAAAGGTAGAGAGGACAGAGGAAAGTTAAGTAGAAAAAAGAAAGAGAAGCACCTTTGACTGCCCAGTGCCGCACCCCCCTGCACCCCTCCCCAGGGAGCCACAGGGTGGAGAAGTGTGTTTATGCTTTCCTGTTCAGCGACTGCAAGTCAGGTCAAGTCAACAGCATGTCTGCCTTCAAGAGCTTGCCTTTGGCTGTGCCTACACACACAAACGCGTGAAATGAGCTCACGCTTGAAAAGCGGCATACTAGCAGCAAGTTAATTTGGGGGGGAAATGAACACATATGTGCTTAAATGGCCAAAAAAAAAAAAGACACACTGAGATAGTGGGGCGTGGAGTTAATCAAAGAACAAGTAGCCACAAGGGTAGGGATGGCCCAGATCTTTTTAAATGTAAATAACCTTAATTAGGAAAATATGAACTTGTATCTGTGCGTTTGACTTATTTAGGATTTTCTCGAGTATGTGGGAACTTTTTTTCTTTCAGATAAAATGCCCCTAGGCACCTTAGGACAGATTAAAGGGGCTTTTTCTTTTTCCTGCCCTGTAGGTATTCTCACTGATAACTAACCTTATGTGAGAGGTCTAACCTTCTCCCAAAGGGCTTAATTAATTCTCTCATTTTCCCTTTAGTCTCTGATTTGGCCAGAATTTGTCTGTCCATGCCGGTATCTTTCAGAAAAACAAATTCAATGTGTACATCAAGTTGATTTGGAGAATTTGTCATTTTAATGAGACACTTACGTAAGAGGGTTTGGTCTTTCTTTTCAGTTTCTCAATCAGTGGCTGTTACGTGTGTGTGTGTGTGTGTGTGTGTACATGTGTACGTGTGTACTGTATTTTCTGACTCTTGAAACTGTGACCACAGTGACTGATCTACAAACAATGGCTGTGTCTTTAATTTCCAAAGACATTCCCAAATTTCAACTAAACTTGACATATCCTTATTGAGGTGGAAAAAAAAAATTAAGTACTAGGAAGACAACGCAGGACCACAGGGCCTCAGTGCTACGTAAGCGCTCTATCACTGGCCCATGGTCCCAAGCCCAACAATTAACAATTCTGAGATAAGGGAATGGTTTATTTGGAACCAACACAAAGACCTTGCTCGGAAAGACAAATTTAAATTTAAGTTAATGTGAGGAACGTGGTTCTTACCTGTGGCATTATTATGCCAGTCTTTTATAGCCACAGGAAAATGAGCTGGGTCATAAGGAGGCAAACTGCGAAGTGGAGAAAGCTTCCGCAAGATTCAGATGCCTTTTCATTCCCAGCCTTAAGATATAAGTAAATAAATAAAACTAGAAATTCCATTTGACCCTGCTAGTCCTCTTCTAGGTATCTTCCCAAGAGTCACAGGCACCATATACCCATGGTTATGGCAGCATAATTTGTAACAGCTAAATTTTGGAAACTGTATGTCCATCGGCAGATGAATGGATAAGGAAAATGGGTTATTTACACACAGTGGAGTACAACTCTGCCATGAAGAAAGATAAAAATTGAGGCATTGATAGGGGAAAAAATGCATCTCACGACTATAATGTTAAGTGAAGTAAATCACAAGATTAAGTATCACATGGTTTCTATTATATGAGAAACCCAAAGTATAAATAAAGAGCAAAATAAAAGATAGATAATAGGAATTGGAGAGATAGATCTTTCTCAAAGAAAAGTGACCAAAAGATGCAGGGAGTTGTGGAGGGAGGATGCTGGAGGAGAGGGAAAGGGGATGTAAAAAAAAGAAAAAAATAAGATGTGTTATGTACATGTACCAATTCCCCACAGGGAATGTAAACATTATGTCCTACAAATGTGCTAATAAAAAAATAGGATAATTATTTTTACAATATTTTATCCAGTAGTCACACAAAATGCTGAACCAGACACAAGCTGGTAATAAAAGGTCTGAACCCAATACAAATTAGACTTCTCAGTTGACAAAATACTTCATCTCTTCCCAAGGTCACACAATGCTCCGATAGTAAGATTCAAACAGGGCCGGGGATTTAGCTCAGTGTTACTGCAGCCTGCCTTGCAAGTTTAAGGACCCCAGTTCGATCCCCGGTACCAAAAAAAAATGAGGAGCTAGCACTCCGGAGGCTGAGGCAGGAGGATTGCTGTGAGTTTGAGACCAGTGAGTTCCAGGTCATTCTCAACTACACAGTGAGACCCTGTCTCATAAAACCAAAA